AGTTCATCTGGCCATGCTTCCTGTCTGGACTATCTTGCAAGGCTGACAGTTGCAGACTGCAAGGAAGAGGACTGTTCTGCAAGACAGAACACATTCTTCTGCCATGTTGGCACTAAATGGCCTTTAACTGGTTTCTGGTGGGCCTGTCTGACTAACTCAGAAGGGGTTAGGCTTCGCCCCAAAGTGATCAGGCCAGAACACTGTCCTCTTTCTAAGAGAATTGCAGCAAAACTCCCTTCTCCCTTGAAAGAATTTCTAAAGGAACCTCCTTTTCACCCAATTAGAACTAATAAGGAGAGAACATAAAGGACGGTTTGTCTGCCTAGCATTAAACACATCAGAACTATAACCACTGTCCAACTTTGCCCACTGGAACTTCTGCCCTTCAATCTACCTAGCTTAAAATGTTGAAACTGCACTGGCTAAGTAAGGCTAGTTTACTGTATACTAAGTCAAATCTGCTAGGTCCAGAAAGCAAATCATCTCTTTTTCAGCAGGATATACATGTTTAAAACCATACATACACACCCATCATGTTATTCATCTTCAGGTAAGTCATATAACACAAAGTGCAGAAAACTGATAAAAATTGCCAAACTAAAGCATGAGATAAGGGGAGAAAAGCCAAGGATAGTTTATACCAGTGTTTCTCAACCTCAGCAACTTTAAGAAGTGTGGACTTCAACTCCCAGAATTCCCCAGCCAGCAAGGCTGGCTGGGGAATTCTGGGAGTTGAAGTCCACACTTCTTAAAGTTGCTGAAGTTGAGAAACACTGGTTTACACTAACACCATTCATTATACCCCTCCATATCTTCCTATCCTTACAAACCATCTTTACTACTACCATTCCCATATATCACTGCATACAATGCCCTTTGCTCTTCTACTTCTCTGTTTTTTAGGATCTCACCAAGTCTATCCAGCCACAACCTCCCTCTTGACCCAATCGCTCATCCTTCATCCATTCCTTTTGTCACCCAATTCTCCTTCCTTCTCTCTATATGGCCAAGTCACCTCAGTGCTCTACTTTCAACACCAGTCTATTCGTTCCTCTTTGAAGCTAGTGTGATCCTTCCCTTCCTATAAATGTCCTACGCATGAGATGGGTTCATCAACCCACTTGCTAAAGCAGGCTCCATGGGGTTGAGGTTTCTAGTTGAGTGGTGTCATGGTATGTGGGAATGACTTTGGGAGATGGGGGAAGAGGCACAGCCAGGGAAGCTGTTGGATAAGCGGCAGCTGAGCCCGCAGGAAGAATGGGGGTGTGGTAAACGTCTCAGAAGGGACCCTCCCTAGTTTCTTGGGCTGAGATGTACTTTCAGACTTGCAAGATTCTGTTCATGCAACCTTACAATAAAGTAGAATTAGCTCATCTGGGTATGCTTCCTCTCTGGACTACCTTGCAAGGCGGACAACTGGGTTGTAGGAATCCAGCCCTTTTCTCCATACAGGGTGTGAACCAAACAATCATGTTAAGTCATCAGATGGTCTCCTGGGTTTGGCTACTGTGAATGCAGAATGGGTGTTTGGTTCTCATGGCTCTAAGAACTAGCATGTTCATCCGGCCATTGACTGGAGTCAGTGTACAATTGTTGAGCAAGATGGGGCCCTGAACATCTCTCACTATGCAGTAGGGAAGCCACAGAGGTCATACCAATCTCTGCCCTCCAGAGCTACATTGCAAGACGGGCAAAGGAGGAACCTTGCCTGCAGCGTGGCAACAGCTCCAGTATTTGCATAGGAAAATCTCCAGGAAGGGAAGATGGCAGAGCTAAACTTTCTTTCCAACTGCTTTGCTAGCACTGGGTGTACGAAGTACCTGTGGGGCCTCTATGTGGGTCTTAGAAGCATCTGTGCATGGGTATATGTGCACCCTGGAAGCAAGGGGTGGGTGCTTCTGCTCCAGATCATGTGACCAAAAGGGAGAAGGGAGGGACTTAGAATGGAGGAGTCAGCATCATTCTGAGTCACTCCCCGACCCCCTCCCATTGAGATGCATTGGGGGATTTTTTTAATGCATTTTTTTCTCTGCAACTTCTGGCCAAATGTGGTCCATTTTCAAACCCAATCTTGTTATTTTATTTTTATTATTTCATTTCACTCTATCACTTATTTATTTATTTATCACTTATTTTATTTTATTATTTTATTTTATTTTATTTTATTTTATTTCATTTCATTTCATTTCTTTTTTCTGTTTTTTTCTTTTTTCCTGTTTTTTCCTGTTTTTCTTTTCTTTTATCTTTTTTACTTTTTACTTTCTATTTTACTTCATTTTTTGGCCAGCTTCTCCCAACACACCAAATCTGGTCCTGTCCTTTGCAGTTTCCAAAGAGTTATCTTGCTGATGGACAGACAGACAGACTCCCACCCCCCTTTGTATATTTTCTTTCCAACGGACTGTTGGGTTGGAAAGAATGAAAAGAAATTGGAATTTTTTCCCCCTTGCACAGAGGGATGGGTAAGTGGGTGGATGGGGAAAAGTACAAACAACTTAGGGAAAAATTCTGGATCCAAATAAACCCAGATCTTCCAAATGGGATGTTGGCACGAGTTTTTACAAGCTGAGAACAGCTGCGTGCTCAATGCAGCTGTTGTTTGCATAGCCCTCTTTCCCCGTCCAATTTGAAGTCCCAGCAAGGGCTTATAGTCCCTAATACCAAAGTCCACTTGGGATGGCTTCCAGCCATTTTTGTCATACCAGGTGTGGGGGTGGGGGGAGGAGAGAAAGTCAACGAATTATTTCAACAACTTAATGGCTGTGTTTACTCAACACGCTTCACTGGGACCCTTTGGGGTGTTTAGAGTTTTCCATGGCGTTGTGTATAATACAAAAGCAGAGCAAGTTTGGAGCCAGGAACGAAGTTAACCAGCCAACAAGAGGTGTGTGAACGCTCCATTTCTCACTGTCTAACCAGTGGCTTCAAGGCCTCTGGTCCCCCAGTCTGCCATACAATAATGCAAGGGAGAGAGACCTCAGAGGGAACTCAGAAACACCGCCCAGAGTAATTCCCAAGAAGTTCTCCAGCAATCCGGCAATAAAATAAAAAAACAGACCTCTTCTTCTGCAGATGGTTTTTGACAAAGGACTTTGAATCGATTTCTGCAGGCTGGCGGTGTCCTCGCTGTGTCTTTTCAGCTCAGGGAAGAATGGCAAGCTGTAGGCCAAAACTCGTCCTCCTCCGTTCTGTGGCACTTCACTCATCCTCCAACGTTTCTCAGACTTTTAGGCAGACCTTCAGCAGGAGGTGTCCAGGAGATCTGGTGGGATCAAATTCTCCAAAGGGGCTTTCTGACTCTGGATTCATCTTCATTCTGAAGCGTAGGAATTCTGGGTTCATGAGATGTACTTCACTTCCACAAGTCTCACCTGTCCAGGACGCCCTGGAGAAGTGTTGACAGTCGTAGCCTAGGCAGATGATCTGACTCTGGTTCAGACCATTTTCAATGCAGTTGAAGAGCATCTCGCTCAAGAGGATACCCATAATGGAACCCTCTGGTCTCCAGAGCAAAACAACATGGACAGAGAACAGATGTCATGACACAGTTAGAAAGAGGATCAAAGACATCAAGGAGGACCCACCTTAACATCATTGCTAACCAATGAGGGCTAAAGCATGTAACTCTGTACTTTCCAAGATCCTGCGACGAATCTCCTTCTTCTGTGCAGATATTCTGGCTAACCAGCTTTTATGAGGATCTCACTTTCTTGGTTACTGCAAAGGAGGACTGACACTGGTTTCCCCCTAGAGATGCAGAGCCCTTTTCAGGATGGCAGTCATGTATCCCCTCTGAGTGACATGCTACCCTATCCCAGTGTTTCCCCATCTCAGAGCCTTTAAGAAGTGTGGACTTCAACTCCCAGAATTCCCCAGCTAGCATGCTGGCTGGAGAATTCTGGGAGTTGAAGTCCACACAGCTTAAAGTTGAGAAACACTGCCCTATCGCAACCAACAGGCAAGGCCAGGGCAAAGAAGTAAATGAGGCTTTTACCAATCCATTTAATGAAATCTAAGTTGAATGAAAATTAAATGAGTGAAATGCAATTGATGGCATATATTCCTCTGTATCCTTCTTGCCTCCCGTGAAAAATTAAAATTTGGCACTTGGCAACAACTTTCAGAGAATATACCTACAGCCCTAGCAGATGCAAACAGCTGTGGTTTCGGACCTCTCTTGCATGCCTTGAAAGAAATGCAGTGGCACCACCCCACGCATTTTGGGGGGCCATCAACTCCACAGACCCATAACTTCTGCTTTGGTTATGGGACTCCAGAGTTGATAGTTCCCAAGAATACATTCAGGTTTTCCCTTGGAATCTGAAGGAGCCTTCAAATGCATGGATTATATTTTCAAGACTAAACATGGAAGTTCTCAGGGCTGTGTATATAGCAAGTATCTGAGAAAATGGACAGGTTGCATTTTGCATAATGCATGAATTTTCTTCTTCAAGGTCACATCTTGGCTCAGAAATGTGAGTCCCTATCTCCTTCCCAGCTCCTGGCTTTAAAACAAGATGCCTTTCTGACTCTCATCACCACTTTTAACGATAGGAATATAGCACTGGAGTGACTTATAAGCGCTATTCTAAGGGATAACGAGTCGATATATTTGTTTTCTCATTTGATATACAGCCACGATAGGAAGCCATGCATGAAGTTTATTAAACCTGCCTAATTTTCTATCAGTTCTGAGAACTATTGATCCTGTCCGTAGAAGTTATCTGACTTTAGTGGCAGTGTAAGTTAAAACAAAATCATTTAAAGGCAAAGGAGAAGGGTTGGGGGAGGGGGAGGGGGAGAGGAGACATGAGAAACTAATTCTGCCAAAAAAAAAAATCAGCAAAGGGAGAATATTAAAAAAAAAACTGATTTGAATGAGGCTGCAAAATGTCTTGGATCACTGGGCCAGAGAGGTTGGTTGGTTTGGGTTTTGGAGGGTGAAGATGTTAGAAAGAGGGAAACACAGATCAGGGGAGGTTTGGAGGTTCATTTCCAAGGAGTGATCAAGGAACAGGAGGAGATACTTGATGTCCTTCTCAAACACAGATTGCAAGTTGAAGACTAGAGTGAGAGCAGTGGTCGAAAGGAAATTTGGGGGAAGTACTTGGGTGACTTGCTACTGAAGGTAAAAAAAAAAAAAAAGATCACCTGGAAGGAAAGTGGCCGATGAACAAAAGGCCTTGTCCACCAAAAGCTACAGAGCATCCATTCCCAAAGTTCAGCTGAAGATCCATTTATAGCAGTGTTTCTCAACCTTGGCAACTTTAAGATGAGTGGACTTCAACTCCCAGAATTCCCCAGCCAGCATACACAGCTATATACATAGCTGGCTGAGGAATTCTGGGAGTTGAAGTCTACTCATCTTAAAGTTGCTAAGGTTGAGAAACACTGAGAGCAAGGATGGTGTATCATCAAGAATCAAAGGTGGGCTCAGCTCTTTTAATGCTTATAGGCTTTGGGCCTTTTGGAAGACATTATGGTCTTGTCTCTTCAGATACTTACCCTCTTTCAGGAGCAGCTGGATTTCTTCATGATTGCTCCATATAGCTCACAATCAAACTGTAGTTTGCACCTCCTCTATGAATTCCTCTCAAGCCTTGGACAGAGGAAAATAATTGTATTTTCCCCTTGCTTGAAGAATGGTTTTCTTGGATAATCCTAGGATTCTTCTTCAGTCCTGATATCCAGAGGGCTAGCCACAGATGAACAAGCAGCCAAATGATATTAAAAAAATTAAATGCATTGCCAATAAGAAATTATATCCAAACTCTGTATCCATACTTTGCGTGTGTGTCCTCGAGTTAGTGTTGACTCCTGTGACTACCTGGACAAGTCCCTGCAGTTTTCTTGTCAAGATTTTTGGAAGTGGTTTGCCCTTCCCTTCTTCTTCCCAGGGCTGAGAGACAGGGACTGGCCCAAGGTCACCCAGCTGGCTTTGTGCCTAAGGAAAGACTAGAAGTCATAGTCTCCCGGTTTCTAGCCTGATGCCTTCACCACCATGCATATTAGGAATGGTTGCTCCAATTAAACAGGAATACAATTCACCTCCTCCAGGGGTGGGGGGTGGGGCAGAGAACAGCCACGGAATCTCATCTTCTTGCCCAAATGCTGATAAACATTGATGACCCACTTCAAATATCTCCCAAGGTTCTCCCTTGTTTAGATCCTTGAACTTTAATTGCCCTGTTGGAGGACACCTTCAAGTAGAGCCTCCATAACTTGTTCCTTAGCCCAATCCCCTTTCTTATTTCCAATTTGATTTTTGGACCGGACCCACAATGTGTCCCAGGATACTGATTTAGGTTTCCTTTCAGTCTGCTGTTCATATCCCATTCCTGATGATTTCCTTATTGCCTGATATGGAGATTTTAAGACACCGTACAGGCATTGTAACTGGTGTTATGACTGCAGGAGAATCTTTTTTGAGTCTTCCAAGAGATAATGGTTGGACCTGTTCTCCCTGATCCTACAGCAGGACTGAACAATTTCTGAGACTGAAGGTTGCATTTGGACATTAAAAGGTGTGCCAAGAGCCACCCACTTGATTCAGGGGAAAAAAAAAAGATTTGAGAGAATTTCAATTAAATTGATGAAAAACAACTCATATTATCTTCCTTGCATGTAATGTATTTAAGAATTGTCCTTCTGTTATCGTTCAAATTTCAGACTCTGATCCAAAAATGTCCTCAGCACCAAAAGGATTCAATAGAGCAACATTTCTCAACCTTAGCAACTTTAAGATGAGTGGACTTCAACTCCCAGAATGCTGGCTGGGGAATTCTGGGGGTTGAAGTCCACTCATCTTAAAGTTGCCAAAGTTGAAAAACGCTGCAATAGAGAGATCTAAGAAAGATGTCCCAGCCTGGACAAACCTCATCTATGATCATATCTTAGAAGCTTCCAAGGTCAACTAAAAGTCTTCTCATTGGTGACAACAGATTCATGGGACCTGGAGAATCCTAAGAATCTCATCTTCAGAACAAACCCAGTTTGACTGTAGATTTTTATAGAGCTGAGCTAATTTGAGAAATGGGAGATATAACTGAGATTCAGTTGGAAGAGGCCATGCCTGTAGTGGTGACTGGATTGTTCTAGTATTCTATAATACTTATGAACAATGGATTGATTTTACTGCATATTAAATTCATTTTTGAAAAATCCTGGACTGAGATTCTCTCCATCAGCACTACTACTTAAAAAATGAAAGCAAAATCTGGATCCCTGTGACTTTAGACCAGTGTTTTTCAAACTTGGCAACTTTAAGATGCGTGGACTTCAACCCCCAGAATGCCTCAGCCAGCATTGGCTGGGGCATTCTGGGAGTTGGTCCACAAGTGCTGGCTGGGGCATTCTAGGAGTTAAAGTCCACCCATCTTAAAGTTGCCAAGTTTGAAAAACACTGGCTTAGACAAAAGCTTAGCTTTAAATGAAAATGTACACTTATCACAGTTCTCCCCTTGATTCTTAAGAGAAGCCAATAACAGAATGAAAGGAATAGCACTTTAGAAGGAAAGAAAGAAAGAAAGAAAGAAAGAAAGAAAGAAAGAAAGAAAG